CAGAGGGGGCGGTTTGGCTTATGACCCTAGCATTGCGACCTCACTTCCTTGGCGACAGGTCCAAACAGAACTCGGAACCCTGGAGTCACTGGGCACCACAGTCCAGCGACGGCTGCCTAACAGTCACTTGGCTGGAGAGAGTCAGCAGCGATCATGCTGTGCTGCTTTCCCAGGCCTCGAGGCCGCAGCAACAGGACCCTGTGCAGGGAAAGGACTTGGGCGTGAGTGAGAGGATGGGTGGCTAAGTCCTCATGCTTCAGGCCACTCACCAGGAACTGCCTGGCCATCAGGGGCAGCACAGGGCGGGTCTCACCAGACCCAGAGACCTGGGGACCTGAGATGAGCGGGAGCCCAGGGCAGATCTCCCTGGACCTGGACCCCAGACACTTGGGGCCACCGAGTCCAGGACAGGTCCAGTCAGGCCCGGCCACCGCTGTGAGTCCCCTATGTAACTCCCGCCCTTCTTCCTCACTTTGAGGAGGGTGGGGGACGAGGTCATGAGGGAGGCTCCTCCTGGGCAGGGGCAGGTGTGGGAGGCTGTGAGCCCGGGGCCCTGGCCTGCGCCCCCAGGACGGGGGTGAGAGGAGGAGAAGGGCAGTGCCCAGGGATGATCCGCAGCCCGCAGGGCCTTCTCCTGTCCTCTGGGGTAGAAGCCTGAGACAGAGCTGTTTGTGTTTCAGGAGCACAAGGTTACCCGGGGCAGAAACAGCGCAAACTGTGGTCAGGCAGAGCCTTGTGCTTGCTGCTGGCTGCCGGGCACTGTCCCCACAGAGCTGCACACAGGACACTGTGTCACTTCCGTCCTGTCACGGCTTTATTCTGCCATGTCACCTCAGGGCAACTCCTGGCCAGGGCCCATGTAGTACCCACAGGGGCTACGCGACCTGCAAAGATGGCAGTGAGCACAGCCGGGAAGCCTCTCAGGACCAGGAAGTGGGCCTGACTTTTTCTGAGCCTTCTCCACCAGGGACAGGCTGGCCTCACAGGAGGCCTGGAGCCAGGCTGAGCCTCGGTTTCTCTCTCCACCATGGGACCTGAGGGTGGGTGGGCTCTTCATGCCCCAGGCCATGACCTCTCCTTGTTAATGAGCCATGAATCGGTAGCATTTCTGTGTGTCCTTTCTGAAATTACCTTCTAACATGCATTGCTTTTCTGCCGGGCCCACTTGTGCCCCTTCTGGTACGAGCCATGATGGCGACTTGCAGAGTGGTCTGGGCTTCAGCCTCCAGCCCTCCTGATGGCCTGGGTGGGCCCCAGTTCCATGTCTCCCCTCTGTTCCATCACAGACTGGGGCCCAACGGGAGGAGAGCCGGCAGAGGACTGCATGGTAAGGATGGTGCTGGCAGGCATGCAGCACCCCCTGAGGGAGCCCCCAGAATGGGATGTCCTGGACAGCTGCCCCATCCATGCAGACTCCCTCCTGGACCCCTCTGGGGCCTGCATTCCCACCCTGCAGGAGGGGATGGTGCCAAGGTGAGCTCTGTGGTTGGCACCCAGGGGCCCTTGGCCACTGTGGCCCCAAGTCTTTGGAAGGTATGAACCCTGCCTCAGCCTGCTCGCAACTCTGAGCAACAGGGCGCTGAGAAAATCGGGCTCTCCGCATCACTGCGGGGCAGAGCTGTGGTCTCCAGGGCAGTGCTGACCCGAGCCTGCCGGATTCCCTTCCATCCCTGGCCGGCTGTGCTTTGCCCCACTGAGCCCTGCACAGGGGAAGGCTGTCCGTTGCCTGTAAAGGAGACCACAGAGTGACTCGGCAGGCCTCTGGTCTTCCCAGAGCAGGAGTCTGTGGGGATGTGAATGGTCCAGGCCCACTGACCTCAGGGAAGAGCAGGTGGGGTCCCCATTCCATGGATGTATGTGAAGACACACTGTGTGCAGACCTTTCCCAGGGCTCGGCTGTGATTGCCAGTAGCCAGAGCAGATGCAACCCCTGCCCTCTGGGGCTTCAGCGCTGTTTGAGGTCCTCAGTCACCCTGGACAGCTGAGCAAGCATTCCTCGCACTGCAGTAGATGGCACTTTCCCGGCCTCCCTAGATGTGGATCCACAGCAGTGCAAGAGGAGCCCAGGAGCGGCATAGACTCCGGGCAGCACAGCGCTGCAGAGCTGAAGCCTGAGGAGAGGTGGGTGGGACAGATGCCCACTGTCCCCCATGTCTCAGATCGTTACAGAGCAGTGGCCCTGTGCCCTTGAGTGTAACACGCACAGACAACAGATGCTGTCCTCATGCGGCTGACAGTGGGGATGGGTGGGGAGACGGTGTGTTGGGCTGCCCTGAACAAGGCAGAGGCGGTCACACCACAGAGCACGGAGCCTCCTGTTAGGCTCTCGGGCTGCCTGGGCCAGCACTGCCCCACTGGCCATGGAGAGGGTGGGGCTGGAGCACACGCAGCCGGGCCAGGAGGCCTACTTATCCATCTCTGCATGTTCCCTGGGCAGGCAGCATGGGAGGAAAGGCCAGGCCTCTCACTCTGCCTCCTACCTGCCTTTCCAGTCCTCCTTTTTTGTCCTCCACTTCTTGGTGCAGCTACACTCCCAGGAGAATCCACCAGCTGAACTCCTGGCCCAGCTGGAGCAAGCAGAGCCCACTGAGGCACAGCCCATGGGCGAGGAGGACGGGGTGTAGGCCTGTGGGTATGAGGGGAGGGATGGACCTTTAGACACAGAGACAGCTTCCGGGTGCTGGGGTGACCTGGGATCACTGAGACCTCAGCCGTCACGGTCTGGGAGGACTTCCTGGGGAGGCTTTGTGCGCAGAGCTGTCTGATGGGCAGTGGGGAGGTTTTGCCCTGGGAGGGAACATGGACAGTTGGTGACTTTTTCTTTTCTTGGAACTGCAGGACCAGCTCCACCCCCAGCTGAAGTCCCATGTGCGGAGCCCGAGCCAGCTCCACCTGCAGCTTCCTGCCCAGGGCTGGGACCACAGCCAGAGTCCATGGCAGCCGCTTCACCTGCTGCAGTGCTGGGGCACCCGGTGGTTGCACGGCTGTCGGTGTCACCTCCTGAGCTCCGCCTGGGGCCAGCTCCTGGCCCCCTCCCACTGTTCCCCTCACTTATGCTGGCTCTTGTTTTGGTATTTACAATTGCCCTTATTTCTTGGATTTATGTAAATAATAGAACTAGCTTTTAATAAAACTTAAAATTTTAGTGTTTAAAAGGGTCAGCGTGGTGGCCTGAAGTGCCTTCTCCCTGTGTGTGCCCATCCTCACAGCACTGTGCTTGGTGGCTCCTGCCCACGCCCCTGGCCCCTTTCCTCTCGTGTCCCCACGGGCACCTGGCCTGCAGGGTTCACACCGAAACTATGCTATATTTAAGCTTTCGTGTCTGATTTACTTAACATTATGATCTCAAAGTACATTCATTTTCCTATAAGTGAGTCGAATTTATCTTTCTTTATGGCAGAGTAGTACTTCACTGTGTGTAAACACATTTTCTTTATCTATTCATCTGTTGATGGACATATAGGCCCCTTCCAAGATTCCATCTTATATAATACTGTGAGCGAACTATGTAAAATGCAATCTTTACCATACTATGTTCTACCATCAGCCATTTGAAACTCAGAAACTGTAGAAGTAAAAGAACTTTAGGGTCTTAGGAATTGCAATTCAGGAGACACAGGTTCACGAAATTTATGTTCCCAAGACAGCCAGGGATAGTGGGAATTTATATGGCTAAATAGTGTTAATTTATTACCAAGTCATAAAAATTGCTTTATAGGAAACTTCTACTGAAATGCTGAGAAAGAAGAGAGGCCAATGACCAACTGAAAGTCAGAAAAAAGGTGTATAAACAGAATGGAAAAGTGTATAAAAGAAGTCTGAAAATATCTTGATAATGCATCACCGTTTCATCTGGTCATCCCAGATGCCAACAATATAGTTTTCTCCAAAACTCCATGCCTTTTCAGATTCTTATGACTTCAGTCAAGTTGTTTCTCTTCACATTCTTTGTTTGATAAACTTTTACTTATCCTTTGAGGTTCAATCCAGGTTGGCACCTTCATATAGCCTGTTCTGAACTGATTCCTACACTTTTCATGGCTGCTCGCATTTAGCTTTGCTTCTACACTGTTTGTATTAAATAGACACTTTGCTTAATTTTCTGTCTTCCTTCCAAATAGATCCTCAAGCAGCAGGCCTGGCACACAGTAGGCAACTCAGTTACCGTTTTCCTTTTCAGAAGCACATCCTGCTCTAGCAGTCAAGGAGGAAATGCAGTGTTTGTTATTCACAGTCTCAACTTTTTACGACAATAAGAGATAAAGATCTATGGCATGTTAGAGCTGGATGGCCAGTTTTAAAGATCATCTAATCCATCAACTCCTCAAATAGTTTTAGGATGATATAAGAGAGACCCAGGGAGGAAAGTAATTTATTGAGATCACACAGCTAGTGAATAGAATGGTAAGGAATTTTTGTCCACATCTCCTGATTTGCCAACCAGGATGCTTTTATTGCTCTGTCCAATGAAAAATTATCTGTTCTCTCTTCCCCTACCCTAACCCCATTCAACTTTTTGGAAAGAGAGAAGTGACTGCCAAATTCTATACATCAACACTCCAGAGACCTGCCCTGGGCACGGCAACCCTCAACTACACTGGTACCAGCCACTCATTCTTCATTCTTCTGGGCATCCCTGGCGTGGAAGACCAACATGGATGGATCTCCCTTCCCTTTTTTATTTCCTACCTTGTTGGCCTCCTTGGGAATTGCCTCCTCATCTTCGTTATCACCATTGACCACAGCCTCCATGAACCCATGCACCTCTTCCTTTGCATGCTGGCTTGGCTGACCTCATCCTGTCTACTACTATTGTGCCATATTCTGGTTTCATCCTGTCTACTACCACTGGTCACATTCTGGTTTCATGCAGGAGCAATCTCCCTTGATGGCTGGGTCACCCAAATCTTCTTCATCCACACTACCTTCATTCTTGAATCAGGGATTCTGTTGGCAGTGGCATTTGACTGCTATGTGGCCATCTGTGATCCACTGCACTATAGCACAGTGCTCAATTGTGCAGTGATTATAAGGATTGGTGTGGCTGTGGTCCTGAGAAGCTTCTGTGTGATTCTCCCAGATGTGTTCCTGGTGAAACAACTGCCTTTCTGCCATAGCAATCTGCTGCCACATACCTACTGTGAGCACATGGCTGTTGCCAAGGTTGCTTGTGCTGATATTCTTGTCAGTGTCTGGTATGGCTTGTCTGTGCTTCTCCCAGCTGTAGTGCTAGATGCCTTGCCCATCTTAGTTTCCTACAGCCTCATCCTCTATGCAGTCTTCCACCTCTCCTCCAGAGGAGCTCAGCAAAAGGCTCTGGGCACATGTGGCTCCCACCTTGGGGTCATTTCTATGTTTTACTTGCCTGGCATTTTTACCATAATTACCCAGAGGTTTGGGCATCATGTTCCTCTCCATACCCACATTCTGCTGGCCAATGTCTGCATGTTCGCCCCTCCCATGCTGAATCCCATCATTTATGGGATCAAAACCAGACAGATTTGAGAGCATGTGCTTAGTACTTTGTCCTCACAGTGGAAAAAATGCTGAGTTTGATCAGATGCTATATTTATCAATATAGGGCTTTACATTTTTATGCCTACTTTGTAGAGACTTATGAGTTAACAAAGTTCCTCTGACAGTGAGCACAGTGACTTGTCATGATTCTGAAAGTCAGATTGCCATATGACCTTGAGGAGGTACTGTTTAGGAAAGAACATGAGCATTTGGATTAGCATTAGGTTTGATCCTGGCTTCACTGATGATAATAATGGTGTGTTTGACCATGGAGAAATTTTTCTCTCAGAGACTCTTCTTAGCACATGCATAGAGTACCAGATGGATATCAAAACCAAAGTAATCAAGAAAAGTTTACCCACAATGAACTTATCCAGGACATCACAATGAAAACTTCTAGACAGAATCTATATTAATGAAATCTTTTTTTTTTTGTACAGGGGATCGAACTTGGGACCTTGCACTTGAGGGCAGGCAGTAGAACCAATGAGCTAAATCCCCGGTCCTACGATCATTTATATACATTTAAGATTACTCAAATACATTTCAGTTTGAATTAGATATTGGGAGAAGTGCCATAATTTTAAAATTTCTTGATTATGTCCTGATTGTGCCTTTATCACAGGGCTATGATACAATTAAAATATAAATGGAATCTTGTCTATACATAACATAGATTAAGCTGTGGACACATTTTAAATTTTTCTTCCCCTTCCTGCTTTAGCCTATCTTTAAAATTTTGGTATAATAATTTGCTAATAATTCAAGGGGAATTTGTAGAATCAATGAGGATCAGGAAAATAGACTTATTTGAATTTTGAAGGACAATATTAATCAGTGGAATTAGTGCTGGTAAAATCTTCCCTCATTTTTTGAGATACTTTTTATGTGACAAGTAAGGATACATCTGTATCACTGATTAGTGACTATGAGCGGAGGTGAAAGTTGAGATACTATGAAATCTCTTGATTCCTTTCAATTCAGACCAAGAGGAGTTGGTCATCTGTGTAATATGAATCTCCAGGAATCGAGGTAATCTGATAACACCAGGTTATTCAAGTTTTGAGAAATGAGATATAAGTTTGCATTACTATGATAGTTTCTTTCCATCAGTATATAAATTGAAGGAAGCAGACCATTGTTTACAGTGGTCAAACCCAAGGCAGAAACACAGAGAAGTAAAAAAGCTGATTTTATAATTGACACTTCCTTTTCCCCTGTATTTCTCCATGAACTTGACATACACAAGCCAGCCATTTCCTCGCGTACTTCCATTTCCATAAGCATAAGTTCTCTTCCATATTCTCCTTTCAGTTTATCAGCTAAAGCACTGGCTGACTCTGCTAATTTATTGTGATTTAGTTCTATAATGCCACCTTGCCTGTGGTTTCATCCCTGGATCTTTTCTGTTCTTTTTCTTTCCTTCATAGGATCTCCTTTCTATACAGTATTAAGATAGACTGCTACTCATCTTTAGAAACAACTTTTATCATAAAACTATTTTCAAGGTCACTAGCATCTCTCTATATGGTCTAAATTTTTTCATATCTGAAATATTTAGCAGGTTGAAGACAATTTAAGATTTTATTTTAGATAGGGAACATCATATCTTGGTTTAGCCTGCCTTAAAATTCTCAGAACAGTTTGATTACAGTTGGGCAAAATCATCTAACATAAAGCCTATTTTATAACAAAGTGTTGAACACCTCACGTAATTTACAGACTACTCCACTGAATGTGAAAATCATAATGGTTGTACAGGTATGCTTTCGCACCACTGTAAAATAAAAACTTGTAAGTCAAACCATCATAAGTCTGAGAACATCTGAATACTGCTAGATAGCTATCCCTCAAATGTATATGTAGAACATTCACCAAAAGATATACAATTATATTCATATTTATTGCATATGGTGTATAAGTGGGGTCAAGAATGCCAGTGTTGCTGCAGTGGGAAGACATCTTGTAAGATTTTACAGAAGCTCTGACCATGTTCACCATGATCTTAGAGGTAGCGTGATAAACATCTTTATACTTCTTGTATTTTTAGAAATATTTATATTTCTAATATTCTCAAACTGGAAATTATTTAAATGCCATTAATAATAGCATAGATAAGTAAAGTATGGTGCATCCAAACAATGAGCTATGACATAGCAATGGCAATGAGTGGATTGCACTTATAAGAATAATTATAAATCTTGCAAACATAATGTTGAGTTATGAACATTATAAAGCCAAAATGAAACTAGTTATGAGAGAATAGGGAACTAGAGTCTGTATAATTCTATTTAGGCAGGGTTCAAAAATCAAAATAAATGTACGCTTTATATATGAGGATAGTGATTATTGTGAGTTGTGATATGAAGGGAGCTCATCTTGGGGTGCTGGTAATGGTCTGATTCTGGATATGGTTTCTATTACAGATTATCTTGACCACAGCCCAACTATATGGCAACAACTGAGCTGGTTGCTGAGAGACCCAAGAAAATACCAGAGATAGTGTGTGAGAAATAGGGTTTATTAAGACTTAATAGGTATGAACAGAAAAGAACAGGATAGATTGAGACTTTTTAATAAAGGATAGGGCTTCATGGTGAACTTGGCCATGAAGTCTAGTCATGGTGGCTGGACAGGAAACCACTAGCAATTCACAATATCCAGTGGTGGCTGGCTGGATTACAGCACTTGTATCTGTCAGCTTTCCTGTTACTGGGACAAAATACCTCACACCCATGATTAAAGAAGAAGTTCAGTTTTGGCTCATGGGTCCAGAAGTTTCAGTCCCTGCATGGCTGGCTCCAAGTCAGAATCATGGTGGAAGGGCATGGTCGAGAAAAGCTGCTCAATTCCTGGCAGCCAGGAAGCAGAGCACCAGAGAGAGATACATCTTTCACACTCCCAGGGACCCATCTCTTCTAACTGGGCCCCACTTGCACATCTGGCAATGAACATCAGTGGATTGATCCACTAAAGAGTACAGTGTCCCCATGATCCTCTCACCTCTCCAGGAGTCTCTTAATTCAGTCAAGTTGACAATTAAGATTAACTGGAGTCCAAGTGCCTCCAGGAGTCACTTAATTTAGTTAAAGTGACAATTAGATTAACTGGCACAGCCTCCTCAGTGCTGTGTTCCATACCTGGCCATTGCAGGGTGGAGGATTTCACAGGTTAAAGTTCTGTACACAGCAGTGACATCATTAGCTTGCTTTGTTCCACTGTATGAACAGCATTCCAAGAAACAGCTGATTTCACATCTGGGCAGGAAGGAAGTTTCTCTTTGCAGATAATAAATACTAGTTTGCTGACGTCTCAGTGTCTTTGAGATCACACTTATCCAGACAGTCCAGTACTGGCATACTTAACGATTCTGTGTCTTGGCAGAAGCCATGGAAAGCAAAAAAGCATTTCAAGGACAGGATCCTAAATCCCTTACTTTTTTCTCAGATGATACAGGTGCATATCGTTTGTTACAAAAGGATCCATTGGTTTGTACAACATGTGTACTTTTCTGAATATTGATAAAAATGTAAAGAAACCAAACATATTAGATCCTCAAGAAAACCAGTATGGCATTATTTGGGCTCCCTCTTGGACCTTCTACTTAGTCTTGAATTGTCAAAGAATCTTGACGGTTTTCGGAGTACAAAAGGAGGAAGGGAGGGGAGAATCAATACATCTAAACACAATAGGAAATGACTTTTGCTGAGTCTATTATATCAGTCACTTCTTGAAGTCGAGTCTATGTTAATACTTCGTCTTACAAGACCAAAGTATGATATTCTTCCATTATCAATCCAAGTAAACTCTTCAGCTGGACTTTGGTATGCATTCTAATTACTTCTAGAGAAATTGATGTGTCCGTAGTACTGTGTTTAGGCACAGGGGATGCAATGGTCAAGCACATCAATATCCATATCCTTCTCATACTACATGATCACAGGACTTAGGATCCCTACTCCCTAGAGGGAAGAACTGAATCTCCACGTGGCTGCCGCTCCCTGTTGTTCAGGCTGACCCTATATGCAGAGAGACCTGGAGAGGCCTGTGGGCTCTTCACCTCCAGGCCTTGGGCCAGAGCAGATACTCAACACACCTTTCCACTGAAACAGAAAGGCAGAATCAGAAGGCCAAGATAGGATGTGGCCACATTCTAGTTCTCTGAGAAAGCACTTCTCGTTAAGAGGACTGTAGTATCTATTTTAACCAACTCCATTATGAGCAGGATGTGGTTAGGGAAAGCTCCAGTCCCAATTCATGGGCCTTGGGAACTGTCCCAATTCATAGGAGGAAACTGTGTTTACAAAGAAACATCCATATGAGTGCAGACACTCACTCCCTGCAACCACTTCCATATCTTAACTCTCCCCACCTGTAGTCTCTCACCTGGCTTGAACTCCATGTATCTGCAGGAGTCCCAGGGAGATCAGCCTCAGGGGTTCGAGGCTCATCTTTACAGAGAGAGAGAGAGAGAGAGAGAG